ACAATGATATAAAAAGTTGCTAGATTTATGAAAAAAAAATCACAAGATAAACCCATCCTCTTTGGTTAAAGGCTTCTCTTACTCACATAAATCTAATTTAAATATTAACATTTTGGCTGCCTTTATTATTATTATAGTCATCATTATCATTATTAATTATTTTATTATTATTAGTTAAATATTATTAATTATTACTACTACTACATATTACTATTATATTTCTATTTGGTAAGGACATTTACTGACATCATTATAAGTGAAAAAGGAGCTAATGTAGCCACATTTTCAGTGTCCTTTTTCCTTCATATTTTTCTCTGTAATTATTTTTATTGATATTCTCAATTATTTTGATGAGAATCTCATGATCCACAAATCAAATGTATCTTTTTAAACATTTTTGATAAATCAGCTGTGTAGTTTTACCCTCTTACACCTGTTTCTTATTACACATTAATTTGCTTCATAATTATTCTTTTGTGCTGTTCCTCTGCAGTGTTCCTCTTGGTTCCTCAGTCACATAGATACTCGCCATTTGGTCTAATTGCCCTATGCCCTTAACCCCCTTCCTCCTTGTACTAAACCCTGCCTTACTCCATTTACTCTCCTGCTGTACCCCTCTCCTCTACCTTACTATCCTATAGCACTCAACAATCTTCAACATCTAACACATTTTGTCCTAATCATTAAATAATTTTTACCCTTTCTGCCACAATACTTTACCATATTACTATCACATTTGCTGTGTGACCTTTGACGTCTGGCATTTATTTGTTTTAACTATTAACCATTAACCATTCTCACACACACACACTAACTCTCACACTCACTCACTCACTCACTCACTCTTTGAAATACTTGCTGTTGTTGCCATGTATGCAACTTATGCATTTTTATTACTGCCATTTATAATGCTGTTTTATATAGTAAATATTTTTTTCTTACAGACGAAGACATTTGGCCATACCTGTAAGGAAAGAGAATATCCTGGTCTTCCAATAATAAGCTGCAAGAAAAATGATTAATGACTCACTTGACATCAAGGATGAAATTGAGGAGATTAACACCCTTCCCCCACACTTCAAATCTGAAGACTTTGTGGATATCAAAGAGGAATGCTTCATTGAAACTAAGAAAAGACACTACACCTCACTTATTGAGGCTGGGCTTTCCACAATGGATGAAGAGGAGGAGAAACTTTGGGAGATTGAGGGAGAGCTTCTTGAGGTTAAGGAAGAACTGCTAGAAATAGAGGAAGAGGTTGTGGAAGATAAGGACTTCCAGGAAGACAGTTGTTCTTTTGTACAGTATCTTGGTAAGGAAGACATGCAGAGTTGTGAGGAGCTCTCTTGTGCTCTGGAAGACATTGAAGAGTCAGCCAAAGAGCCATTCAAATGCAGTACTTGTAGGAAGACATTTTCAAACGAGTCGAAGTGGACCAGCCATATTAAGAGATGCAAGACAGAAAAAACATTCACTTGTGATATTTGTGGTAAAGGCTTTGCTCAAAAGGGAGGTATTATTTTGCATATTAGGACACACACAGGGGAAAGGCCCTATGGCTGTGAGAAATGTGGGAAGAAGTTTCCACATACAGGTGATTTAGCAAGGCACATGAGGGTTCACACTGGAGAAAGACCTTATATATGTGAGGTATGTGGAGCCAGCTTTTCAAATATAAGCTCTTGCAAAAGGCACTTGAGAACACACACAGGTGAAAAACCATTTACCTGTGACCTGTGTGGCAAGGACTTCCGGCACAAAAGCACACGGAACAGACACATGAGGGCACACACAGGAGAAAAGAATTTTAGCTGTGAGATATGTAAAAAAATGTTTGGTGAGAAAGGTGATGTTGTAAAGCACATGAAAGTCCACACAGGTCAAAAGGACTTTTGCTGTAAAATTTGTGGTTTTAAGTTCTACATACAACGTGACCTGGAAAGGCACATGAGGATTCATACAAGAGAAAAGCCTTTTAGCTGTTCCATATGTGGTAATAAATTTTCAATAAAGAGCAACATGTTGAAGCATATTAGAGGACATAAAATTCAGTGATGGAAACTTGTGACAAGAAGTACATACAAATTTATAAATACAGTGTATTGTTAAATATGTACAGTAGCCTATTTGGTAAAGGGCAGTGATAAAGTTTGTCTATTCCTTTTACTGAATATTTTATTAAAATGAACTGTAGTTTATGTGAGAAATGCATTTATATATTATTAGTGTGTGTGTGTGTGGGTGTGGGTGTGTACATGCATGTGCACATGTGCGTGTGGGTGGGTGTGTCTGTGTATTTATATATATATTGTGTGTGTGTGTCTGTGTATTTATATATATATATATATATTGTGTGTGTGTCTGTGTATTTATATATATATTGTATATGTATATATATATTCATATCTATACTTAGACACACAAACACATATTCATACTCATACATATGCACATACACATCTACTTGTATAGACATATACAAAAATACACTGACATGCACACACACACACACACACACACACACACACACACACACACACACACACACACACACACACACACACACACACACACACACACACACACACACACACTCACACTCACACACTCACACTCACACTCACACTCACACACACTCACACTCACACTCACACTCACACTCACCACACTCACACACACACACACATTCACACACACATTCACACACACATTCACACACACACACACACACACACACACACACACACACCACACACACACACACACACACACACACACACACACACACACACACACACATATATATATATATAATATATATATATATTGTGTGTGTATGCAGAAATACAAGAAATAAAAAAAAATATGAACTTTGAACTGTTGACTATTCTTAGTATGAATCAAGGTAATTGGTTTTAAGAAGTGAAATGTAATTTGGTAATTTGGAAGCAGTTACTATTTACTGACATAAGTAAGAATATTTGTGGAATTTACTTGATGGGTGAACTGCATTTTGAGAGAATGTGTTATGATATTGGAGTAAAACTGTTTTGTAGTTTGTAATTATTTTATGCAAACTTTCATGTGATATATTATGCAATAAAGATTTTGAAGGCTTAGTAATATGTTTTTTTTTTTCGATTTTGTGCATTGGGGGGATGGGGTTATAATAAAGATAAATGAAACACTCAGCAATACATGATGGTTTATGAATAATAATTTAATATGATTTCTACATTTGTCATGCACTGACTTTAGATAATTTTGTTACATTCAATACAGAAGCTAAATGTATTATGCAAGGCAAAAAAAATGCATTGATGTAACAACAAAAGGAAAAGTTTCCAAAGTACAAAATAACTTTTGGATGTCAATACTGATTTTCAATACACGTCCTTTAAGTAAATGAAAAAGTACTGTAGACATGCAGAGTTTACAGTAAAGCCTTTCATCGAATTATGCATTTTAGTAAATTCGCCTTTGCGGACCTGACCACTTGTTCCACTTATTGACTTAGTAGCATTTAACGCAGTCTCCCATCACCAACTACGGTAAATGATATCTGAAAACGAAATGGAAATGTATCAGCCCTACCTGTTTTGATCCGTTGAAATTCAAAAAGCTGCGTTTAAATTACATTACTGGTATGGTGTCGAAGACCTGTGCGTGTATACGATGGGTAGATGCCAACCATTGATTTTGTTGATGTGGCTAAAGGTAAACGTAAAAGTGAAGAGAAGAGGTACTCAAATTCTACAAAGCAAGCAAAGTTTACTGAGCTGTAGTCCTCGGAATCAATAATTGCCCTCAGTATAAGGGTACATGAGCTGCTCTCTCTCAGCATGGCGGAGAGAGAGCAACCGTAAGACGTAATTAGTGTCAAAATGGAATGCTCGAAGGTGATAATATTCCATTGAATACCCTAAACATCTTACTACGGGGAGAAAATTGAATTACTGCATAGACTGGATAAAAAAGACCCGCTATTTGAACATTGTTACGTTGCATGGCACATTCATTATGGGTGCAAAAAGTAACTGAATCTTCAGTGTCATTCATGCTTAACATTTGGGAATTGGCTTTCAGATGTTTACTTTATAATACTATTGAGCCACTGTCACGTGGCGACTAGAACATCTACATGAAAATGAATTACAGAAAGTGTTGCACTGTGCGGTAAAATAGCATAGATGATATAATGTAAATTAGCATCGATGAGCTACTAGACAAAACGAGCGAACTGGAGCAGGTCAGTCCAACTCGGGCACGGTCGGATGGACTCACCCAATTTCTTCTAAAATACTTTGGATGTTATTGGACGAGTCTCCAACTGTGCTCAAGAGGGGAAATAAGACCGCCTTGGTGCCTATAGTGTGCATTCCTCCCAAGCATTCGTTACTCGGTCTGTGGCTGAGCTGGCCCTGGGCAAATGCGAGGTGAAATTACAAGAAATCAACACTTGCAAGAGGGTTAGTGGAAAGAACCAGATATAGGCCTATTGGTGTGATGAATGGAGGCACACCTTGATAGATCTCATTGGTAGGAGTTGGCTCCATGACCTGACCACGAAGTCCTACAGGCATCTCTCTCTCTCAATTGTTCCTTTCGCCTTCCCCTATTTCCCTTTTCAAATTCCATTACCTGTCCTCTTTACCCAATCCTTCCCCTCTTTAAATCCCCTACGCAATTCCCGTACTTTATTATAACATTTCAGCATTTTTAAATATTCCTTTATACTGTATAGTACTTGTCCGTACAATTACTTGACAATAAGGCAAAAAATCTATTTTGCAATATTCCTTTTGAAGTCAGTCGAACTCCTGGCAGTGTTCTTTCACTAAGCAGGGGCACCAAAATAATTTTTCTTTGTTTCCTGGCAAACAAAAACAGGCAGCACCTCTACCAAGCAATTATCTGACAGCTGTCGTATCACAAACCCTTTTGTCACTTACTGGAAACACACACACACACACAGGCACACGAAGGGCTATATAAGTACTTATATAGACTTGGGCACACAGGCACGCACACACGCACTGAACACACACAAATACAAAACACACGGACGCAGAGACGCACACAACGGGAACAACGAAGGGAAGGGCAAGAAAACACGAATATGGCGAAGGCCTTTTCGCTAATGCTACGTCGAAGGCATTAGCTAAAGGCCTTCGGCATATTCGTGTTTTTTTCCCCTTCCCCTCGTTGTTCCTGTTGCAGTCTGTTCATCACACACGCACACAAACACAACACGCACGCACGCACTAACACACACACAGGCACGCGCGTGCACGCACACACACAGGCACGCGCGTGCACGCACACACACAGGCACGCGCGTGCACGCACACACACAGGCACGCGCGTGCACGCACACACACAGGCACGCGGCGTGCACGCACACACACAGGCACGCGCGTGCACGCACACACACAGGCACGCGCGTGCACAAACACACACACACACACACACACACACACACACACACACACGCACACGCACACACACTGACACACACACACACACACACACACATACACACACACACACACGGGCACGCGCGCGCACACACACACACACACACACACACACACACACACACACACACACACACACACACACACACACACACACACACAACACACACACACACACACACACACACGAACACATGCACACACACTGACACACACACACACACACACACACACACACCACACACACACACCACACACACACACACACACACACACACACACACACACACACACACACACACCACACACAGGCACGCACGCACACACGCGCCGACGCACATACATACATATGTATTCGCGTGTGTATGTGGGTGGTGTGGGAGAAGAGAGATAAAAGATGGAAACCTGAGAGAAAAAAAGAGGAAAATAAATCGTGATAAAGAAAAAATGAGAGAGACGTATGCAACGCATGCAACTGACGTCACATTGACCATAGTGGACACTATATTAGTTCGTTTTGTAATCTTAAAAAAAAAAATGTTCATGTCTGTCATTAGTTGTGATATCAATCTGATCTTCACTTTGTAATATTAAATTGTGTTTAGAAATATTCGATATCTGTAATTGATGGTTTCTCTGCGGTAGAGGTAGAGGTATATTAATTTCACCATATATCTATCTGTCTATCTATCTCCCTATCCATATATATGTGTGTGTGAGTGCGCGCGTGCATATAAATATCTATACGTATATATAGGTATATATATTTATTTTCCGCCGCTGGATAACGCTTTCATCCACCCCAGCAGTTCCTCCCAACCCGTTGCATTTCCCCAAAAGTCCGACAATCTGACATTTCTCGTAATATATTAAATCACCGAGAGATGGCAGGTGTAGTCAGGGTGACGTTTTTATTCGTCTACATTCTCAAGCGATTGTTTGTATTTCGAATAGTAAGCAAATTTCTTGGAAGCTACGGTATAGATTGAAGACATCAGCTGTTATTCGTGAGTTTTAAAGATGTATGTTAAATGTTAATGGTAAATGTGCGGAATATGAAAGAGCGAGGGCAGAAGGAATGCAAGGGTAATAGTCATAAACAACTACACAAGGTATAACCAACAATTATGCAAGGGAAAAGTAGGCCATAGAATAACTTCGTCTAATCGCAATGACTATCTATCCATTGGCCTTCCAGCTTCAAACTCTTGCAAGGACAGAGAAATCCCCACATTATGCATTCTAACAATATAGGGTTTGTTGACCTTCATGGAAATTTAGCATTTATAAGTCAAAACGTTTTGTAACTAATGCATTGAAGACCTTTGTTTGCCTTTGCCAGAGCGCTGAGATCATGGGTTTGCTTCATGTGGTCCTGTCCCAAATAAATTCCAATTTGTTCAGACAGGAAATCTAGGAATATATATATATATATTATATATATATATATATAATATATAGTATATATATATATATATATATATATATATAGACACAACACACACACACAAACACACACTTTGTAAGAAAAGTTTAGAATGTGATTTTCATGATATGTATGCAATTCTCATTAAATCTAATATCAAGTATTTTATGTACACACACACATAAACACACACACACACATATGTACACACACATGCACAAACACATGCACACACACACACAACATGCACACACACACACATGCACACACACACACACATGCACACACACACACCATGCACACACACACACACATGCACACACATGCATACACACATGCACACACACATGCATACACACATGCACACACACACACCACATGCACACACACATGCACACACACACACACATGCACACACACATGCACTAACACACACACACATACCACACACATGCACACACACACATGCACATGCACACATGCACACACACACTGCACACACCACACTGCACACACACACACATGCACACACACACACCACACACACACNTCAACACTCCACTCTTCCCTCCCCTCCCTCCACTGCTACCCCCTCACCTATCAGCCGCCCCTCCCTCCTCCGGGCCGTGCCTCCTTTCAACACTCTCTCCCCTCCCCTCCCCTCCCTTCCGTTCTTTCATCTGCCACGAACATGTGTTTCTGATGAAGATTGAACGAAGCGGTCAACCCACCTCTGGCACCTATTCCTCTTCTTTCTTCCCTTTCTCTACTTTTGTGGCAATGAACACTGTCCTTCTGTCCCTCCTCCTGCCACCCACCTTCCCGTCCCCTCCTTCCCTTCTTCACCCCCTCCTCTATCCCTCCCCTTTCCTTCTCCTTCACATATATATGTGTGTGTGTCCTCCACCTCCTCTTTCACTCTCCTCCTCCTTCACCTCCTCTTTTCCTTCTCCTCCTCCTCCACCATCTCCTCTTTTCCTTCTACTTTACCTCTTCTTTCCTTCCTCCACTTCCCCTTCCCTTTTCCTTCTCCTCCACCACCTCCTCTTTCCCCCCCCCCTTTCTACTCCCTTTTCTTTTCCTCCTCCTCCTCTTTTCCCTTCTTCTCTCTTCCTCCTCCTCTTCTCCTTGGTTTCTTATGCTTTCCTCTCCTGCTGTTTTGCAAACGCAGAGTGACGCAAGGGGTCCTTGGGAGGGAGGGGAGGGAGGTGGGGTTGGGGGGTTAGATCAGCTTGGCAGGGGGGGGGTGATGCAAAGGCACGTAACCTCAGCGAGTCTTCAGATGGTTCCTCCTCAGTACCGGTGCCGAGGCTGCCAGCACCGGAGTGGCCCGCTGCATAAAGGTGAGTCCTGCGAGGCTGAAGGCCGAAGGGGATCGTCTCCTGCTTTTGGTCTAGATTCCTAGAAGAAAGCTGTTTTCGTTTGCTTTTTTTTTTTTTTTTTTATAACCTTATTCACTGCAGCCGATGCTTGGTTGGCTCAAAATGCACATAGCACATAAAGCCCAAATTCTCTGTTTTGACTATTTTAGGAGATGATCCCCTTGATTTTTGAGTAGGACGGGAAGATGCAGGTAGGTCATCTTGTCTCGCCGTTCTTTCACTCGTTTACATTCCACAAATGCGATATCCTGGCACTGTTTGTTTATAGAAATGGCATCGCCTATGGCAGTGATGCAGCATTCCGCCTTCTTTCGACACACTTATCAATAATTTTTAGCCGTATATTAATTTGAAACACGAAAAAAACGCTTCATACTTATATCGGTGTATGGCAGCAAAACCAAACAAAAAATTTACAAAATCACGATTTTTACAAAAGCTAACGACTTTTTCTTCGCCAGAACCAAACACATTCAATAAACAGAAACCGTACAACATTATATTCTTCATTATAGAATATATAGATGCTTCATCATCGTGTGTGTGTGCGTTGGCGTTTCTATAAGGAGACGCATCCACATTCGAACAGCTTAGCGAAAAATACATGTTTGCTTATTTCAACTCAAGCTATTACTAAATAGATGGTTCCAAGGAGGATGAATAGCAAAAGCCTAAGAGCCGACTCCCATTGCGTGTGTTGTATGATATATGATATCAAGAAAAGAAAAGAAAAAAAATGAAATAAGGTAGATGAAATTATCAAATCATCTTGCTCTCTACTTTTATTTGTCATCTATGCTATAATCATTTTCCTTCTTTTGTCAATACACGTTTACAGTATATGCGTATGTGTAGGTAAAATTGGCATACATGTCCTATATGACAAAATCTAACTCATATGCTATCTCGATATGAACGTTAACTAATAAAGTACTTGATATTTTTTTTTCGTCAGATCCAAACGCGAACTCAAATATGCTTAGTTTAATCATTTTAGAATGCAAAGCCGTAGCGAAAGAACTGCAGTTGCGTCTATCCTGAAAAAATGGCCGCTTTTTGCCGTCTCGTTTCACATCGCGTTTCCCATGTCATTATGACGTCATAGACCATATTTTCTTTCGCATTTATCATACATCAGCATTGGCCGCGAAATGGATGTTCAGGAATTTATGAATATTCATTGGCATAAAAAAAATATATAAAATATGCCATTACTTATTTTGTAGATAGTGCCTGTAAACAAACTAACATTTCACACTTTTTTAAGATAGTGTATCAAAAATCTGATTTTTATGCTAAATCATCTACACCTACGCGTAAACTGTACTACATTGCATTGGCAAATAGAAGGAAAAAATACATAAATGACAAATACCAGTAGAAATAGAAAGCAAGATATGTTTTTCTTTTTTTTTTATTTATTTTCTTTTTGGAATCGGTTATTGGATTTTTTCGATTCCCCTCCTTGGAACACCCAGCGAGTAGTTGTTTGAGTTGAAACAAACAAACGTGCATTTTCTGGCTCAGTTGTTCGAATATGGATGCGACTCTTCAAAGCAACGCCAAGAATTATGGCACAATAATAGCTGACTATACATACTTTTTCGTAACATCAAGGATGACTTCGTATTGCCATAGACGCTGCACACACACACACTGACATCAATTCTAATTCGACAGTTGATTTGTATTATACGATGAGAAAATTACCAATTTCATATAAATTTTATATTTTAAAAGATACAGTACATTCAACAACTATAGGGTATATATATCTGAACCGGCTGTAGGCAACAGTGGAGTGACGTCACAGATTGCTGACTGGCACAGCAGGTATTCCGCTGCCAGGCGCGAGGGGTGTGGTGAAACTACCACATCACCACAGACGATGTCACTTTCAGCGATCACCTCCCCGTGATACTTACACTCTCCACAAACCCCATCATGGTACCTACACCTCCCCGAGAGATCCCTAAACATGCAAGCTGGGAAGGGTTCAAACAAGCACTCGAACACACCACGCACTCCAGACCTCGAGGGGCAACCCACACACACCATAGACCACCGCCGTAACCCGTGAGGCAAACTTTCCCAAAACAGCATTCAAAACACTCGTACACTACAAAGAAACACATCGTCTAAAAACACTCACAATACAATACAGACACCTTCGGGAATTCGCTGAAACACAGGGATGGAACAAAGAACTACGCTCTCGATAAGAGAAATGCAAAGACCAACTGACCAACGAAACAAAACATGAGTAACCAACACTGAGAAACACTCACACGAGAACTATGCGATCTTTTATCCCTTTTTATTATCAGAATAATAATGGTATTGAAAGAAAACATTATTGATGCTTCGAGTTTATTAATCATATGCAATTTCTATTATTGTTACTTTAGAAAACGAAATAACAAAACAAAAAGTAACATCACAAACACTGACGCTCGTGAATAACGCTTGCGAAAGCGCCCGACACACACCCACCCACACACAGCACTTTATTAATATCCAATAAAAATAAATTCTTAAAATCAGACAAAAATCAGACAATATTTTATACAAGTAAAGTTCCGTCTTATCTTTTCTTAGTAATGTCCTGTCTCTTCACTTGTTGATGTGCGTAACTCCATCGCGCGGGTAGACGGGGGATCACTCCGCTCTCGTCAATCTCCCGGCGTCAGCGGAGGCTGCTACTATCTCTCCGCTCGCCGAGTCCGGGCGAAAAACCCCGGGCCTCCTGCCGGTGCTGCGGGCGATGGTGTCGAGGTCGAGCCGCGCCCGAGGTCCCTGAGAGAGAGAGGCCATAACGTTGACACAGAGATGATTATTTGATTTCTTTATAATTAGACTTATGCCACTAGGATTATTATTTTTCTTTTCACAACAGCGTCCCCTTACCGAGGCTTTTGATTGTAATGTACGGCGTCGAAGGCGAGGGATTCCACAGGTAGCCCTCGCAGGTGAGCGGTGTGCTTGTCAGGCCAGGAGTCTCGCCACTCGACCTGGCAAGGGCGCGTTCTCATAGGCCTACACTGGGGTTGCCTCTTGTTTGTTTGTTTCTTTTGTCTCGTATTATTCCCGTTTACACATTTTATTTTATTTTGCTATTGTTTCTCGCGTTCATTTCATTTTACCTCACCTCATATCGTTACACGAATTGTTCTTTGCATTTATGTCTCTCTTCTTTTTC